TATGATTACCTCCCACCACCAATATTACTCGAGCATCCTCTACATAGTGGTGCTCCACAACTCAGTTGGGACCCACTGTTTCGTTGAGTAAGAGTAGTATTAGAAGTGTTAGACACTTAGGGTGCTGGTTAATACTTAACTGAGACATAAGTTGCAGGCTCAGCCGGGCTTATGTGCTTAGGGTAATAATGCTAGGTTGGTTGCATGAGATGCACCACTAAGTGACAAGGAGTTGTCAACCTAATGTTAAGAGAGGGTGTGAGATACTGTTGATGAGGATCAACCCATTATTTAAATTAATCTTGCGGTCTCAGACGGGGGTTAAAATAAATAATCGCACTCTTAATCTCACTAAGATAAAATCTAAAAGTAGATAAACCCTAAGTCAAATGGTAAGGGTCATTGACTTAGATAAAATAGTGGGAGGGGCAAATTATTTAAAGTCTTTAATAATTTGTTACACGACAATATATATTAATTAATCTATCTTTACATTTTCAGTTTTTAGTATGACTAATTCACTGTCACTGCGCTCAATACTCGATACGAACAAACTGACCAGTCCTAATTTTATGGACTGGTATCGGAACGTCAGAAATGTTCTGCGGGCCGAAAAATTTGCTTATGTCCTTGACACTGCTTTTCCCTTGAACCGTTGCTCTGATACCATAAAATGTAACACCCTCACTCACCCACAATGATGCCTCTCACTCACACCAAGTGTTTAGGATGATGAAACAACCAAGAAAATGGGTTCAAGGTTCAGTTTCGGTCAAGAACTAGAGAAGAAAGCAATGGAACAGTGCTCACTCACAAACTGATCAGCCCACTCACGTAGGAAAGAAAGGAGTCTAGGGTTTTGTGCCCATAATAAAAGTATATATAGGCCACACAAGCATTAACACACAGTATTAACTTTAATTGCTACGCTTAACATTTTAATCCCAAACTTTGAATTATGAAACTACATAATTTTCTAAGAATTATCATATTTTTATTATATTTTTCTGAGCACCTTTCAGGTACATGCTTTTCAAAGCCAGTACCGGTTTCTAGCACCAGTTTTCATTATTTGGACTTGAAACTCGTTTTACAAGTCCTACATATTATTCTAGTAATTATCATGCACTTATCTTAATTTTCCGGGATACTTTTTCGGTACGCATTTATACCGACTAGCAGAACCGGTATCTGCAATTTTCTTCCGAAAAGCGACTTTCAGCATTCTTAATCACTTACCATAATTATTAAAGCCTCTTAATAATTATTAGGTCAATTATGGAATCATTTCCTAATTTTGCATAATTAATTAATTAAATACCTTAATTAACGGTGCAGGTTCTTACATTCACCCCACCTTTTTAGGATTTTGACCTCAAAATCAGAAACATACCTGGTCGAAACTCGGGCTACTGCCGGAGAAGCTCGTCCTCACGCTCCCAAGTACACTCCTCAGGAGTTCTTCTGATCCACTGTACCTTGACCATTGGAATGATCTTGCTCCTCAGCTGCTTCTCGCCACGATCGAGAATTCTGAGTGGTCTGACGGGAGTCTTCAGGTTCTCCCGAACCTCCACATCATCCGGTTGCACCACGTGCGACGGATCTGCTATGTACTTCCGAAGCTGAGACACGTGAAACACGTCATGGATGTTAGCCAAGTTCGGAGGCAAGGCAAGCCGGTAGGCAAAAGGTCCTACTCTACCAAGTGGCACTGCCTGCACTGCAGTAGCCCTCGCCGTCGCCGACGGACAGTCTCTAGAGAAGTGGCCCTCATTGCCACACTGAAAGCAAATCAACTGGCCGGTAGAACACGGCCCAAAATGAGTCTTCCCGCATCCCAAACACCGGGGAGCATGAGGTCTCGCTGCACTCCCCTGAGCAGAAGTCCTCTTGAACTGATTCGGCGCCTGCCGAGCTGCCAACTGTTTACCCTTGCCATTGTTCCCAAACTTCCTGTCTCGCCAAGAAGTGGAACTACCAGCTGCAACCTTCGTCGCCTCAGCAACCTTGGCCTGTTGGCCTTACTCGAGTTGTAGTAATCTTCAATATCACGACACTGCTGAACCAGTGTCCCAAAATCTCTAGAAGTAGAACCAGCTAGGTAACCAGCAATATCCTCACTAAGTCCCCTGCGGAACTTAGCAGCCATAAATGTAGGAGTAGGCATCGCCATCCTGAAGTGTGCAAACTTCACCAACTGGTTGAACTTGGCCAGGTACTCGTCCACAGACAACGAGCCCTAAACCAATCTGTCAAACTCTCCCTGCTGCCTCTCCTGAGCGTCATATGGAAAGTACTGACCCAAGAAGAAATCCTCGAACATAGGCCAAGTCATCACATGACCCTGCATCTCGTAGACATGAGAAAGGTTTGTCCACCACTCATGGGCATCGCCCTCCTGCTTGTAAGTAGCGAACATCAACTTCTGCGGATCTGTGCACTGCATGACCCGAAATATCTTGTCCAACGCCTGAAGCCAACGTGCCGCAGCAACAGGATCAAAGGATCCATCAAAGGCAGGTGGCTTATGCTTACGGAAAGCATTCAGCCGGCGATCGATCTCATCACGATCCTCAACAAAAATAGGGACGGTCTGCATGGCCCTCGTAAGGTGACTGCCATCTCCCATCTGACTCTAAGAGTCATCCTGCAGACTGGGTGGAGGTGGTGGTGGTGGCGGTGGAGGTGGTGGCGGAGGAACATGACCAACATCAGGGCCATTCCTCATCTCCTCCAACGTGACTCTGAACATCGTCATGTTCGCCAGACGGTTGGCCTCCAACACGTCCTCAGTGGCCTTCCTGTTCGCCTCTCTGACGGCGTCCAGCATGGCCTGGTTTGCCATTCTCATGGCCTCCTGGTCGGCTACTCGGGCCGCCTGCATCTCAGCCAATGCAGCTAGGACAGGATCGGGCCGATCCTCCGAAATCTCGCGGTTTCTCCCGGGTTTTACCATGATTCTGCACAAGTTACACAAATTATGAGTTGATCAGGCCCACACAATATGGTCACATATGCATTATCATAATAATACTCGACGGAGCAAACACACAAAACAGACACAACCAAACATCCTAATCATTGCAATACATACAGGATTTTCCCTTGAACCGTTGCTCTGATACCATAAAATGTAACACCCTCACTCACCCACAATGATGCCTCTCACTCACACCAAGTGTTTAGGATGATATGAAACAACCAAGAAAATGGGTTCAAGGTTGAGTTTTGGTCAAGAACTAGAGAAGAAAGCAATGGAACAGTGCTCACTCACAAACTGATCAGCCCACTCACGTAGGAAAGAAAGGAGTCTCGGGTTTTGTGCCCATAATAAGAGTATATATAGGCCACACAAGCATTAACACACAGTATTAACTTTAATTGCTACGCTTAGCATTTTAATCCCAAACTTTGGATTATGAAACTACGTAATTTTCTAAGAATTATCATATTTTTATTATATTTTTCTGAGCACCTTTTCGGTACGCACTTTTCAAAGCCAGTACCGGTTTCTAGCACCATTTTTCATTATTTGGACTTGAAACTCGTTTTACAAGTCCTACATATTATTCTAGTAATTATCATGCACTTATCTTAATTTTCCGGGATTCTTTTTCGATACGCATTTATACCGACTAGCAGAACCGGTATCTGCATTTTTTTCCGAAAAGCGACTTTCAGCATTCTTAATCACTTACCATAATTATTAAAGCCTCTTAATAATTATTAGGGTCAATTATGGAATCATTTCCTAATTTTGCATAATTAATTAATTAAATACCTTAATTAACGGTGCGGGTTCTTACAACTCCAAACTCGATATTCTAGACCTAGATATTATTTTAGTAATATTCTTACACATTATAATTTTTCGACATACTTCACCACTACGCATTTATACCACGAAGCAAATCGGTATCTGCACTTTTCGTCAAAAAAGTGACTTTCAGCGTTATTAAGCCTTTATAATATTATCTAAGTCTTTCCATATTTATCAAGGTCAATTATGAAATTTATCTCTTAAACTCATAATAATTATTTAAATTCCTAATTTAACGGTGCGGGTTCTTACAAAAACAATTTTCAATTCGCTTCCCAATGCAATGGTTACTTGTTTCCTATGATGCACCGACATTTCAAAAAACCTGAAGTGTCACATCTGATACTCCTTGACACTGTAACACGCGTTGTAGAGATTCAAAAAGGGGTTCAAATATTGCATTGCATTTTTAGTGCCAACTATTAGATTCGCTGGATTACGATTACCATTTTATTAAGTTTAATATAAATATTTGAGATATCTTTTGTTTCTTTGCAAAATTGATGGGTATTATAAGTTTAGCTTCATTTTGTTGTTAAATTATTGAATATTAAATATAATATACACTACATAAATTAAAATTATTATTTAACATCAAAACATGTCATAACGTGTCGAAATCTAATATTTTTAAATTTAGCATATTTGAACCCCTTTTTGAATTCTTATGTCTCGTATCCCATGTGGGTGTTTGTGCAACATTGCTTGTTTCCTTCTAGTTTTATTTTAGGGAAAACATTTTCTCCTTTTAAAGAAGAAATTTTTTCTCATGTTAATGACACATTGTATAAGTGGGTCCCACAAAATAGTGGAAAGAGAAAAAAATTAAAGGTGGGACCCACATATGCTTTGAGTCACTAACATGAGAAAAAATTTCTCCTTTAAAAGGAGAAAATGTTTTCCCTTTATTTTATTACTTCAAGTTTGCTTCCCTACATTTTCCAATATAGCCTTCTATATATGCTTCACATACTTAATCACTTAAATTAAATATCATAGCAAACACATTTAACAAAGTAAAATTAGAAAAATCGAATCCAAACATGTCCAAGCTTCTCCATTACTATATTATTGAAACGGAAATCAACTAAACATTTTATCCTGGACAAAAATTTGAAACTATATATATTTCACACCCTAAGTAAATCAAATATGAAATATGGCTTCACAAGGTTGCTTAATATAAGTGATCATAAACTTCCGCTGGCAACCTTGGCTTTGCAAATGCTACTAGTGGCTTAGCTTTGGTGGTATCCCCTTCAGATTCAGAGAGGTCGATGCTATCCTCATTGGGTGGCACACTCCAAGTGAAGCAATGTAGCAACCTTGCAAATAGCGTAATAGTCATTGAAGTTCCAAGCATGAGCGCTGGACAGCTACGCCTTCCAATGCTAAATGTTACCAATTCCAAGCTTGGCTCTGTTAAAACCAAGTCAGACCCATCTCTTTTTAGATGACGTTCTGGTTTGAATTTGAAGGGTTCTTTCCAAACTCTTGGGTTTTGGCCAAGTCCTTGTCTCCTTAACAACACATGGCTACCCTTTGGGATGAAAAAATTAGCAACAACTGTGTCAGCCATTGAGACATGGGGAATGTTAAAATCCACAATGGGGTGAAGGCGAAAAGCTTCTCTTGCACAAGCCTTTATATAGTTTAGCTTGGGAAAATCTGATTCTTGCACTATCCTTTTCTTTCCAACCACATTGTCCAATTCTTCAGTTGCCTTTCGAAGTAACTCTGGCTGATTTATCATTTCTGCAAGTCCCCATTCAATTGTATTCGATGGATTATCCACCGATGCAATCATCATTTCCTGCAACAATTAATGATTTATGTTAATTTTTTGAGTATGAAATTCAGAGGGACATGCTAGTTACCAAGGTATATATAGATGGTACTAAAGATATTAACTACTATGTAAGAAAAAATAATATCGTACAAATTTATGTTGAATTTTTATTTAATTCTTTGTAAAACAATACTTTACATCAAGTAGGAAGCATATTTTACTATTATATATTCCAAATCAGAAATTTTTATATAGACTTAGTGCATTTGACTTATGTTCCGGTTGTAAAAATACATAGTTATAATATTAAAATTATTTTTTTTTCTCTTCATGTAAGTTGATAATTTTTGAAAAGAGAATAAAAAAATAATTTTAATATTATAACTATGTACTTCCAGAAATACATAGTTATAATGGATTACATAAAATAATTTTTTTATGTGTATGATTTTCCTTTGACTTATATAGAATTTTAATTTATTTAATGAAAAGTACTAATGATTTCAACTTTTTATTCACAAACTAAGTTTGTAGAAGAATTTGTCGATATATTAATGATATTTTCGTATAACAACATTTAATAATATATATATTCACTCATAGAAAAAGATAAATTAATATAAAAATAAAAGTAAGTTAATAAAATAGAATATTATTTTGGGCGTTAGTTTTTTTCTGTTACTTATGATAAGTCATTTTCCTGCAGATACATAAATACATAGTCCCACCATTTTTTTTTTCAAAAATCCAAACAAAAAAATTGGCACGAGTTTCGGTCTGTCAGTAGGAATGAAAATTTGTTTTTCTACAACCGTAGATAATGTTTTCCCTATTATTTTATGTCTTTATTAGATATAACATCTAAATTAATGTATTTTCTCAAAAGAGAAATTTTTTTTTGGGATTGTGTCCTAATTATCGTCTTGGGGTGATTCAGGACGAGTACTTCCGAGTTGAGCGGTATAATAAATATCCAACTCTTTTGATAATTCCTCCATTACTGAAATTCATGTTATCACTTGACCCTAACCTTGAATGAAGACAATTTTCAAGAAAAAAAACCTTGAATGAAGACAAAAATTTTCTATATTGATAAAAGTAACGCAACTTTGGGTCTTTTGACCATTGTACTTAGAGCTAGCAAAATGGATTCGGCTCAGCGGGCCAACTTATTCAACCCGTTAAACAGGGTAGGGCGAGTTGAGTTTTTTAACCCATCTCAAAAGCGGAGCGGGACAGGATGGACTCATTTTTTGGCGGGTTGATGGCGGGCATGGGCGGGGCGAGGCGGGTCAGTGTAAATAGGCTAGGGCTAGCGAGCCAACCCGCCCAACCCGCCAAACGAGACGGAGCGAGCTAAGTTTTTCAACCCACTTTCAAAAGCGGAACGGGATAGGCTGACTTTTTTTATGGCGGGTTGATGACGAGGTGAGGCGGGCCGCCTACTTTGCCACCTATATTGTACTACCCATTTTCCATTTTCTGTATCTACAAAACTATTAGGACAAATAGTGAAAGTCATTCAACACTCTTGAAATTGATGGTAAGAAGTTAGAACCCTTAATTAAGGATTTTGAATTCGAGTCCTGAAAATAAAATAAAAAATTGGAAGAGGTATCATTTTTAATAAAATGAGACAAGTGCTTGAATCAAATATAATCCGAAAGATGAATCTATTAAGAAACTAAAAACAAAAAAAAAACAAAAAAATAGTGAAAGTCACGATTTGGGGTTTTTTGACCGGTGATGTGCAAATCGCAAGAAAGAAATTTGCGAAGTGCCATATGTTCAGAAACTAATTTGATTATAGCCTTTGTGGAGCGTTAGAGATTAGAAACTCAGACCTACTTGCCTCAGTCAGACAACCATTACGTTGTCAGATGTTGCAGCGCAACATGGTCTGCCCATACTAAATCAAAACTTTTACTAAACTAATCTCCCATTTGTTGCGGACGTTCACTAACATGTCATGACAAAGCAACTGGAGTTTAGATATAAATAGGTGTTAGCAATGCGGAACAAGAATGGCATAAAAAAGCTCCCGGCCTTCGCGTCAGTATTAGACGAACAACAATCAAGAATAACTTCATACCACTATTCATTGTCCAAATATCATTGTCTTCCTTTTTATAGATAATGGGGAAATGAGGGATGAAAAATGAGACTACTTATAAAGAATGGGGGTTCGAAGTGGAAATCATGTGATAGAAAAAATGATCAATATAATACAGTTGTAAAAAAATTGTTAAAATTAATAATATTATTGTTTGGAAATTCTTTAGCAAAGTGATATATATTTTGATAAATTATTTGATCATGTGATCCATTAACATGACACATGTCATCACCATATGATTGACACGTGTCATGTTAGTGAATTTCACTTAGTTAAAAATAATTAAATTATTTCATTTAATAAAAAAAAACTATACTACATTAACAAATTAACCTCATTTTGGGAGAAGCGAGATTGTATACTTCAATGGAGTACCACGTGTAAAAAGGTACATACTACATACCATACTCATAAACAGTTTTTTCCAGATTTGTACTAGGAAGGTCAAAAAAAGCCCATGATCATTAGCATGTTTTTAAGAAGTCAAAAAAATAAATGAACTTTAGCAGGCAGCAGCTAATGTTTGCGCAGATGAAATAAGCACATAAATTGGTTTATACCTTTTAACGAGTGGTGTGCATCAATGTGTGATTGTATGTACCAAAATTTGAAAATGAACGAGGAAGAACGTTACCATAATTTGAGATTTAATTTCCTCCTCTGTCAACAGTGCATTGTTATCAGCATCTTTCAGTGAGATGAGAACATCAAGCAAGTCTTCTTCATCTTTCTTTTCCCCATTCTTCCATTGCTGAATTCTTTCCTCAATGATAGAATCATGATATTTCTTTACTATCATAACAGCACTCTTCATGTTTTTCTCACTACCATCCAAGTCAAGTCCTCTCAAACATGGCACATAATCAGAAACAGAAAAAGCAAAGAGGTTCCTTAACACAGTAAAAAGTGCTTGTACATGCTCCACTTCCTCAAAGCCAGGTCCTCCATCTTCGTTACCCTTTCCAAAGTACCTTCTGTTGAAAACCAACCTCCTAATCACGTTCCCAGAATAATGATGTGCAGCAACCTTAACATTCACGAGTCCACCATTTTTGCATTGGTTGTACACATAACGAACAAGGTTATCAGCTTCCTCCACCCGTTTGTCATGAAGCCATTGATGTCTGAGTGGTGAAAGCAAACCATTGCTAAGAACTTTCTTCATTTTCTTCCATTGTTCTCCAAAGGGTACGAGAGCTGTGGTCAAATATCCACTTGAGACATGCTCACTGGACCAGTTCAAAGGTCTTGAAGCAAGAACAGCATCATGTTTGATCAAGAATTCACGTGCAATTTCAGGGCTTGTCACAGGGATGACATGAACATTACCTAGACGGATGCATGCAATTTCAGTGTTTAGATCATTCATCAGCTTTTGTATCCATCTGAATGTTGACTTTTTTAGAAGCATTTCAGGAAGATTTCCAACGATGGGCCAAGGTGTAGGACCAGGAGGCAGTCTAGTGTTTTGGGATTTCTTGGTGCTATGATGTTTTATGAATTTGATGAATGCCATAAAGCCAATTAGCATGAGTATGATATACCAAAATCCTGTGGATACTAATAAGTGAGAAATTAGAGAGCCAAGAGAAGATGCCATAACATAAGTTGGAAATGGGGTTAAAGAGCATAAGGTTCTGAGATGCTATATTAATGCCTTAATGGGTATGATGTATATTATTATTATTATACAGCTATTTGCAATTAATGTCAAGCGTTCTGATTGTAGATATTGATGGATGTGATTAAAAAAATAACATTCCCCGAGGCGAATAATTATAATAATTACTCTACCTAACATATGATGTCATCTCATCTGCGTTATAATAATTTTAATAAATGGAATACTGAAAAACGAATATTTTAAGTTGACGAAGTATTGTATCCAAAAAAAAAAAAAAAAAGAGTTGACGAATTATAAATTGAAGTCATAATAACAATGCAATGAATGCATAAATTAATTCGATTTCCACCCGATAAACCAGATTGAACCAACCCGTTTTTGTTTGATTTGTTTTAGATTTAGCGATAAAATTATAAGACTGAGAGCTAAATTACGGAAAAAATATTTATGATTCTGTTATAGAAATTTTTTTTTGTCATATTTATTTAAAGTAAGTGAGTTTTATTTTGAAAAGAAGAGAAAGAAGGAGTTAGTAAAATCTATTCACTTTTATGTGAATATGATAAATAAATTTTTTTTCAGCAAAAACAAAAACAAACTCTTATTTTATTTGATTTAAGAGATAGAATATTCATATTACTAATTTTTTTTACTAACACTCTAATTATTATTGTATTAGAGAAAAAGTTGAATGAAAAGAACAACAACTTTTGAATCCAATAAAATTAGAGTGACAGTAGAATAATAGTAAAAAAATTAATATTACGAATATTCTATCTTTTTATTTAAATATTTTTTTTTATTATATCCACGTGCATTGGAACTAAACAGATCCATGTTCACATTCAATTGAAACTGAAGATTGTATTAAAATTATAATCGAAATTTTGTATATTCTCCTCTGAATATCTTTATGGGGAGGTTAAGGATCATTTTCCTCTGTTTATGACTAATATAGCATTTTTAATTACTCAAAAGTGTCCACGATTACTTTACAGTTTTCACAAAACTGGAGAAATGTATGAATTCTTTAAATGTTACATTAATTTGAAAATATAATTTAATGTGCACTTCTAAAATGGTAACCAGCATGAGAGCCAGGTAAATGGCAAAGTTAGCGTCACATAGATGCTTTTAGTTAGAACTCACATCAACATCCACAGAAGAAATTAGTATAGAGGTTAATTGGAAACAATCCATGTTAGCAAATATTGTGAAATGGCATAATAGGCTTGAAGAGCATCCTTTAATGAGAAAATAAAAGAGTAATATTTTATTAAAGTATCATATATTATATGAAAAAGATTATACTTCAATCAAGAGTGTATGACCGGTCATACTTAGTGTAATTTGTAAAAAAAAAATTGTTAACGGAACTTTCCCCGTATTAAATTATTCAAAATATAATTACATCATTAATTTTTTTATTTTGCTCGATAAAAATATTAAAACATAGGATGTAAGAATTTGTTTATAGGTTTTATTTATGACCCCACTGTGGCCGTTTACAAAAGTATTTACTATTTAATATTAGGGTAATAATTTTCTCATACAAGAAGAGATAATTATTATCTCCTACAAACTTATTTATGGAGGTGAGATCCACTTTTAAAAAGAGAAAAAATAAAAAAATAAAGTGAGACATGTAAGAACCCGCACCGTTAATTAATGTATTTAATTAATTAATTATGCAAAGATAAGAGATGATTTCATAATTGACCCTAATAATTATTTATGAGGCTTGATAATCATAATAAGTGATTAAGAATGCTGAAAGTCACTTTTCGGAAGAAAAGTGCAGATACCGGTTCTGCTAGTCGGTAAAAATGTGTACCGAAAAAGTATCCCGGAAAATTAATGTAAGTGCACGATAATTACTAGAATAATATGTAGGACTTGTAAAACGAGTTTCAAGTCCAAATAATGAGAACTGGTGCTAGAAACCGGTACTGGCTCTGAAAAGCGCCTACCGGAAAGTTGCTCAGAAAAATATAAGAAAAATATGTTAAATCTTAGAAAATTATGTAGTTTCATAATCCAAAGTTTGGGATTAAGATGCTAAGCGTAGCAATTAAAGTTAACACTGTGTGTTTAAATGAGTTTTGGCTATAAATACACTTTCTAAGGGCACATTGCCCTAGGTACCAGAAAACCAGCGTGAGTTCTCCTTGGTGGCTGACCTCCTATACTGTTCCATTGCCATTTGCTCCATTTCGAGACTGTGATCGATCATTGTATGCTTGTTTCTTCTTAAAACCTTCTTCCTAAACACTTGTTCTTGTTTGAGTGAGCCTTGGGAGGTTGGAAGGCACCATTTTTCTTAGTGATCAGCCACTGTTTTTGTTTGTTTGGGGGCTGACCTTGGTGGTTGGGTTGAAAGAAGCCTTGTCTTGGATTTTTGGTGATCAAAGTGTTGATCTTTAGTGCTAAAGGGTCAACCTTTCTTACCATTTTCGTGCATCCTCTTGTGACAGTAGCTTGAGACTAATTGTGAGCTCCAAAGGGCAACCTTTCCTTCTGTTTTGAGCTGGGGTATGTGTACCAACCTTTGATCTTGAGTTTTAAGGCTTAAAAATGGAAGCTTGATGCATGTTAAGGTTAAAAGATGATAACTTGTTGTTGAGTAATGTTGAACACACCTAGAAATGCATGATTAGGTGTTTAAAATCGGTAAAAGGGAACCTTTAAGGGATATCTTCACGAAAATGCAGAAACTGCATTCTGTCGTGAAATATCCGGATATCTGCCCGTGGAATATCCGGATATTGGATATCCGGATATGATATCCGGATATGTGTATTCGGATATGGGGTTTTGGGATATCTGGATATTGTATATTCGGATATGGGATTCTGGATATCCGGATATGTACAGTGAGATATCTGGATATTGCATATCCGGATATGGTCCCGAGGAGTATCCGGATATTCTGGGATTTCGCACAACAGTAGCTGTGCTGTGCATACAGTAGGCTATTGGGGGTTTGTAGACCCTAGATTGATGAAGTTGAACTTCTGTATTTAATGGACTAAGCCAGAATCATGGGATTAAGGGCTTGTGGCTTTGTTAGAAGCTTTAAAACTTGAAAACGTAATGAAAAGGCGTTGTCTTTAATTTGTATGCATGTGATACATGTTTATTGATTTATATTTGGTCCATATCATATTGTGATCTGCTGTGATTGGACTTTGAGCTTGTGGCATTGGATAGCTAGCTTAGAGGTAAGCTTTCGTGTCCTCGGTTTAGCCATGTTGTGGTTCCACCATGTCCCATGGGGAGATGGTATATGCATGCTGTGTTACATGCTTTTGATGTTTTGGAAATGCTGTTGAGCTATTATATGTTAGTGCCTTGTTGATATGCATGGAGGTGTTCCACCTATACGGTAAGCCTGAGTATGTAGAACATACAAGAGGGTGAGGCTGTGGGTGAGGTGCAAGCGGTGTTCCTTGTACTACATGTAGGTAATAGACGTATTCCTACATTTCTCTGGCCAGTAGATAGTGATTACACACATGCCATAGATATCTGTTGCACTACATAGCTTTGGAACTGATAATGATATAAATGCTTTTCGAACTTATATTGCACATGTAAGTGAGCTTGGGGTGGAAGATCTTTGCGGACCCCTTGTCTTACTGAGATTTCTAGTTTAGAGATCTCACCCCACGTTTGGGAATGCTTATTTCAGGGTCAGGTAATGTTGAGACCTCAGGCGGCAGGAGGCCGGAGCTGAGTTAGATTGCTGTTATATTATGTTGTCATGATTGGATGCTGGATTTGCATGCTGCTTATGCTTATAGCTTCAGTTTATGTTTATGGAGTTTTATGTTGAGACTTGTTGTTTACTATGTTTATTTGGTGAGCATGGGGATTGTCCATGACACATAGTATTATTATGTCTTGTTTATGTCTCGAGTCTTTTGGAGTTGTAATAATGTACCAGGATATTGTCCGGATTACTTGATGTAATGCCGTGATTTAGATACACACTTTATCTATATATTGAGATATTTCAGTAGATCTCTTATTGCAATTTACATACAGGCGATATTTTATGAAATTGATTAAGTAATCAAGTTGGTAATTGATAATGACGTCACAATTGAAAAGAAAAAGAATATTCCGCAATTTTTAATTAAGCACCGCTTAATACGATGTAATGTTAATATTCCGGGTATACACGGGATGTTACAAGACCCATCTTGAATTTATGTAGGTAGAAGATAGATTATATTTTATGTAACGTATGAATAATAAATCCCTTAACATTATTTATAACAAAATGACATCCCAATTTGCAAAAACCGTACCATGTACGCACGTATCATCTGATGCTGGTTGGTTGTGCCCCTGTTTTTTAATACCCGCGCTTTGTGTCACGATAATAGAAAAAGTAGAAAAGGACCAGAATGGCAACTAGTAGCGTTTTATCAGTTTCCTATTAAACAAATAATGAGTTTAATATTTATATTGTTGGAGATAAATTTTATTTTTTCACATATAAAAAATTATTGAATTCATGTGAGCTCATATAAAAAAAGAAATATAGATCCTATATATTTTTGAGAAAAGTATTTCTCCAGTCACTAGAGATAACTTTATCTCCAGTAACACCAAATTGACGTCATTTTGGGTTATAAGATTAAAAAATGATAGTGATAAAACTAATATAACCCGGCAATTTATTAAAATTACAAAAACACATTGATTTTTGCCCCAAACGACGTGATTTTGGGCTTATAGGAGATAACTTATCTCCATTGATCGAAAAAATCCTTTACCCTATATTTTTATGTGTATATGGAAGATAAATTTATCTAGAAACAATAAACTCATAATAATATCAACAAACCTACAATCATGTAAGAACCCGCATCGTTAATAATTAA